CGAAACTAGTTTTGATTTTTGACTATTGACTTTTGATTTAGTTTTGACATATAACTTTTAATTTTAGTTTTGACTTTTGTCTCTTCAAAATAGTTTTGGCGACCAACACTAGTCTGCATCACATCTTGCTTGAATGGTTCAATTAAATCTTTTATTATTGTTGTGATATGTACCAGGAATGATTAAGATTATAATAGTGTGTGATAGTAAATTGTGAACCAACTATACATGGGATGGTAATTGTTTTGCCAAAAACTTAATACATGATTACGGAATTAATTACGAGCGATGAAATTTACAAGTGATGAAAATACTCATTGTAGAAGAAATTAATTATTGTGATGTAAAATCCATAAATTTTACATGGGGAATTGCTATATTTCACCGATGGAGATTATTACCGCAATACTAATACATACTTAATTAAAAAAAAATTTTTCTATATTTATTATAATGTGACTCATTTTATGATAAATATTAAGCCTTACAGATCATCAAAAATAATTCAATTAACAATCTTCATATCAAATAGTATATAAAGTCAATGCCAAGGTTGGGTGACGAAAGTATTTTGGAGTGTAAAAGTATTTGGTCAAATGGGACACTTGTGACGAAAAGTGACGAAAAGTGATAAAAGGTAAGGTCAAATTGTGATAAAGATGACGAAAATATAAAATTCAATTTTATTTAGATTTAATTAAAACAAAAAACATTTTTTACATCGTAAATCATGTTTCTTGGTTGGATACTTAATTTTTGCACGCAAAATTTTAGTAGGAATTGCTGCTTCACATCTATTGCAGGTTTCATAACTTTCTTCAAAATCTGTAGAATCGTCTGATAATTCTGATTGTTGAAATGATTCTTCATTTACTATTTTAATGGAGTGTAACCATACATCAAACACAGGATGTCCTGTAGCTAATTCATGATTATTGTTAAATAAACTTTCAGATATATTACCTAATTTTAATGTTTGCAAATTCATATTATATGATGATGATTGAGAAGGAATTGGTGAATTGGGTAAATTGGAATTTGATATCATGAATTTTATTTACTTCATAATTTAAAATCTAGAAAATAATTGGTTTATTTTATTGTTTTGTCACTTTCGTCATTTCGTCATTTTCATCAAATTACTCAAAGTGTAAAAACCTTATTTCGTCACATTTATTTTCGTCGCCCAACCTGGTCAATGCTCTCTCCAAAAACCGAACTGCTCTTTATAATGAATTAAGGTATTGGTCCCGATTTTTTGTTAATTAATCTTGCTCTGTATATATAACGAACTGCTTTTGAAAAATCATGATAAATTTACATATAAAATGGCGCTCTCTATACCGAACTTTAATGTAACACAATAAAATAAAAATTTATTATTATTATTATTTGATACAAAGTATATTATGCCGACTTCTTTCTTTAACTATAACGAAAACAAAATTAATATCAACATTATACAAGCGATAAGAATACAATTGTTTATTAATTAATTGTTTACACACTACGTCTCTTTTGTTAAATCATTAATGAAAATAAAGAAAATAAATACCAATATATAAAATATCCGTATGCATTTTTTTTTAAAAAAAAGATATTTTAAAATTCAACCAAATGTCAACTAAAAGAAGAACTACTTTGACAGCTTTACAAAAGAAAGAGTTATGTTGGAAAATCTACAGTAACTGAGACTTTAATACCATTACTTATATCATTGATTATCTAGTGTTAAGAAATGCATTGTATTCTTATTAAATTTTAGTATGTTCAGAAAAAGATTGATTTTGCAACCTTCTAATGTTTGAGATAAAAGATAAATAAATATTTTAAAAAATTTTAAATTTAAAAAATCATGTGAAATTCAATAAGTTGGTCAAAGAGGTCCACCCTGACATGACCAACTTATTGAATTTACATATGTATATTCTAATTCAATTTATATTTACCAGCTATTTTTTTAAAATCCATATATGTCACTTATTATTATAATAATAGTCAAACAATATGTCACAGGAAGTGTAATTAAATATATAAAATAGAAAATCTGGCTTGTGGTAACCATTCAGTTTTTTAAAATTTCTCTTTACCTCAAGCATTATTATTAATCAAAAATAAAACTTTCATTTAGGGTTGTTAAATGGAGCATAATGTTCTGGCAAGCATAGTGGACATTTGATTTCATTGGCTAAATTTTGTGACAATCTCCCTTCCAGATATCATGCAGCAATTAAATTTTATTGGCTTGAAAATCATTACGCGAATTTGAAAAACAAAATATTAATATTAATATATTAATATAGGGAGTTGTTATTCGCACCCCTCCCGTGACTAAGTGTATTAATGTGACCAATGAATGGCTTTAAATGTGATGATTTTATTGGTTCATCTTTGACTTAGTCACGGGAGGGGTGCGAATAACAAAAATGGGAGGTGCGAATAACAATTCTCTTAATATATTAATATTAATATTGGAGGGAATGATAAAAATAAAATGTTTATAATAAATAAAAAAATTAATATAGTACACTCACCTGCCAAAAGTATCCGGACAAAATGTAGATCATGTAAATTTCCGTGACATTTCTGGGTGTTTTACAC